AGGATAAATTGAAGATAATCTCTGAGGGAATGCACTATCATGAAGAGGAATTGTTTTAGTGGGGTTGTCTCTAATATATCTACACTAAATATGATGTTGGATCTTGGCTTAAGATAGATTTTTTTTATTGTGTTGAGGAAAAATCCCTCTATAGTCTTTGTTTTAGAAAACTTTGAAATTATCTTTTTATTGTGATGTTCATGTCAACACACAATTCAGCACACAAAGAACAGAAAAGGGGATTGTACAAAAAAATTGTGAATTTCTTATATAGTCTATTTTTTCCATGTATTTTAAACTTTTGTGATATAATAAAACTCCCCTGCTTGCAAGTGCACCTTTCTGAATTTCCTTCTGTTCTCTTCTATTTTTAAAATGTTTTACTGTTGCTCTTTTTTTTGTATCCCTATCACAATCCACCACTTCCACATACTTTCTCTCCAAATAGAAGCCAACCATGTTAACAAGCTTTTATACCTAAGCAATGACAAAATGGTTGTATCTGTAAATGTATATCTCATTCTGTATGTTTAGTCCATCAACTCTTTGCCAGGAGGTAGGAAACAAATTCTGTCATCAGTCTTCTGAAGTCAAACTGGTCTTTCAAAGTTGTTTCTCTTTACAGTACTATAGTCACAATATAAATTTCTGGGTTCTATTAACTTCGCTCTGCATCTGTTGATACAAGTTCTCCTATGTTTCTCTAAACCTGTCATATTCATCATTTCTTATCATGCACTCAGCCATTTCCTATGCTTAGTTTCCATTGATATTACAAAAGTGCTGCTATAAATGTTTATGTACATTTGAGTACTTTTTCTCTTTTTAATTCCTTTGGGGTCTATGCCTAGAAGTGATATTGCTGGCTCAGAGGGCATGTACATTTGAAGGACTTTGGGGGGGCAGCATAATTCCATATCTTTGTGTTTTTTGATATCTAATTCATAATAAAAATAGTTTTTAAAAAACTTTCCAAAACAAGGAATAGACATGGACTCAATACAATAAAAAAATTTCTACCTTGAGCCAATTGTCAACATAATATGTAGGGAGAAACATTAGAAGCAATCCCATTAAAAACAGGTACAAAACAAGGATGACCATTATCATTGCTTTTATTTGACATATGATGAAAATTATAGCAGTTTTGACAAGATAAGGAAAACACATTCTAGGGGTTAACATTGGAAGTAAAGAAGTCAAAATATCATTGTTATTTGCAGATGACATGATAGTATATTTAAAATCCAAATTTTCTATGAACATTCAGTCATGATTAAAAATGATTAAAAAATAAGCACAAGGTATGCTAATTATTGGTGAAGCTGTGAATTATTCTAATTCTTCTGGACCACAGACCTCAAGCAAAAATGGAGATATATGAGAAAACCAAGGCACATAGCAATTAAATGATTGGCCTAGCTAGTAAATGTCAGATCCAGGATTCAAGTCCAGGTCTTTTGTTTCCAAGGCCAGCATTCTTCCCATTGTATCTGCCTACCTCTCTTTCCCTTCTGAGTAAGCCCTAGGAAAAGCAGACTCAATCTATGTAGCATGTGGTAGAAAGGGAAGAAAGGAAGGAAGGAACAGATGCTGGGAAAAGGGGGAAGCCAGAGTTCTTACAAATCAAGGTGTGGCCAGGGATATCAAGCCTAAATTTGCTCAGGGACTAAAAGAGATAGATGTCTCTATCCCCATCTTGGGGCTCAGATATTTATAGTTTGTGGAGAGCTAACCAGAATCTGAACTAGGTATTTACTAACCCAGAGATGATCTGTGTCTTATTTTGATCTGACTTCCTGTGAATTAAGGGTCTCTGACTAGGGGTATTCCTCACAGTCCAAGCAGCTGCTTTATGGTGATCTCAAAGGGCAACCACCAACAGGGTAGAAGGCAAAAAATGCTTTAGGGTTTTACAGGCTCAAGGCAGCTGTGCTTAGCCCAGAAACCATAGCAGCAGATAGGCATACAGACAGAGACACACAAGCTAGAGTGCCATCAGCAGTTACAAAAATGGAAGCTCTGTTTAAGTGAAGGCAGTTGTCATTAGTGATGGGACCTTCAGACAGTGAAGATCTGTGACTTCAAGCAGCCACAAATCTAGTAGCAGTCTATAATTTGGTGTTATGCATTTGCTACATCCCTGAACATCTATCTGTAAAGTAAATGTGTATGTACTGAATCATACTTTCCCACTGACTACTATTATAGTTTCAGAGACATACATGTTCCTACAGAAAGTGTTTTAACCCTAGCATGGGTTAAATTGGGCATTTTTGAGGTAGAAAGATTCTTGTATTATTATGCCTATTTTTATTAGGTGTATAATATTATCCCTTCTTTCTGTTTGGAAGAAGTAAGAGTTACTTAATTAGCTAGTTTGATTATCTACAAATGTTCAGGCAGAGAGCCCAAAGCTCACCAGTTGGTAAGTCAGGCAACAAGCATTTACTAAGCTTCCTCTGTGCCAAACTTCGTGCTTTCCTGGTCATACAAAGGCCAAAAACAAAACAAGGCCCCTGTGTTCAGGAGGTCACATTCTAGTAGGGCAGACATGTAAACAAGTATGCACCATACAAGATACATACAGGGTAAATGAGAAGCAATCTCATAGAGACGGCAATATTAGCAGAGGGAAGATGATAACCAGGAAAGGCTTCCTGCAGGTGATGGGGTCAGAGCTGAGTCTTAAAGGAAGGGGAAGGGGCAGCTAGGTGGCTCAGTGAATAGAGCTCTGGCCTTGGAGTCAGGAGGACCTGAGTTCAAATCCAGCCTCAGACACTTGACACTTATTAGCTGTGTGACCCTGGGGGAGTCACTGAACACTGATTGCCTCACCAAAAAGCAACAAAAAAAAAAAGGAAGAGGGAAGAGGGACAGAATTCCAGGCATGGGAGACAGCCAATGAAAATGCAAAGAATCCAGAAATAGAATGTCATATGCAACAACAGCCAGAAGACCAGTGTCGCTGAATTGTAGGGTACATGGAAGAGAGAGACAGATGCAAGAAGACTAGAAAGGGGCCAGGTTTGAAGGACTTTAAAAGCCAGAGGATTATATCTGTGATCTTAGAGGATGCCTTGGTTGCTGAGGTTTGATTTAAGATTGTGTAGTGAAGAATAGAGTAAATCAGTCCTAAGCCCATTGAAAGGACAGGATGTTCTGGGGGCAAGAAGCTCTTGGTTTTGGTCAGATTGAGTGGAATGCCCAAGGCTGTGGTTCCTGGGCCTAAAGGAGAGGCCTAGAGACCTTAACTGAATTAAGATACTTTGAAGTATCAAGGCATCTGGCCCAGGATTATACAATAGTGAAAAGAGCACAGAATTTGGAATCAGGAGGTTGAAGTTCAAGTTATTTCATTTATTTGGGACTCAGTTTCCTCACCTGTATAATGAGAAGGATTTGGACTAGATGACCTTGGAGATTCTCCTTTAGCTTTGAGTTTATGAACATGTCACACTTTGATTTATTCTTTCTCAGTACATTCTTCACAGGGAGAATCATAGAATCTCAGAGTTGAGAGGGAATTTAGAAACCACCATCCACCCAAAGCAGGAATCCTTTCTTTGTCATCCCTGACAGTAGCCTGCTTAAATCATGGGTTCTTAATATGATCTTAAGGTAGATTTCAGGGGTTCTTAGACTTGAACTTGGATGAGAAAATATATACTTTCATTTTTACTAGCCTCTAACTGAAATTTAGTGTGTCCTTCAATTACTTATTATTGCCACATTGTTATTATTATACTATTATTACATAATAATTATCAATTATTTAAAAACATTATTCTGAGAATTGGTTCATAGATCTCACCAGACTCCTAAAGGGATCCATGACACACAAAAAGGCCAAGAATGCCTGGCTGAAATCCAGAATTTACTTAAGTACCTTCAGTGATGGGGAGTTCCTGGCTTCCTGGGACAACCTGCCGTGTTATTGTCATTGTTAGAAAGTTCTTATGAGTCACTATAGTCTGCACTCTTGGAAACTCATGAAGATGGGTCTGATTGGGCAGGCTGTGCATTGAGATTCATAAAGAAGTCCTTGCTAAGGAAGGAATCAGAGACCTTGGCTATCATTCCCTTCCTGTCCATCCCTTTCATTGGTATGTCACAATCTATGTTAACACGTGTCTTCGGAACACAATAGGATAAAGTTATCATCTCCTTTTAACCAGCTTGTACTATGGTTTATATGGGTCAAGACTTAAGAACAAAAGATTTTCACTGTTAGGCCTATATCCCAATGACATCCAAAAAAAGGAAAAGTACTATTTGTACAAAAAAATTTATAGCAGCTCTTTTTGTGGTGGCTAAGAATTGGAAATCAAAGGGATGCCTATCAATTGGGGAATGGCTAAACGAGCTATGGTATGTTATTGTAATGAAATATTATTGTGCTATAAGAAATGACAAGCAGGATGATTTCAGAAAAATCTGGAAAAGACTTACGTGAACTGATGCATAGGGAACTAAACAGAACCAGGAGAACATTATATACAGTAACAGCAATATTGTACCATGAAGATCTGTGAATGACTTAGCTATTCTCAGAAATACAATGATCCAAGATAATCCCAAAGGACTAATGATGAATCATACTAGCCACCTCTAGAGAAAGAACTGATATTGATTGAATACTGACTGAAGAATGCTTTTTTTCACTTTCTTTCATTTTTTTCTTTTATTCACATCTCCTGTACAAAATGACTAAAATGGAAATGTTTTACATAATTTCACATGTATAATCTATATTTGATTATTTACCATCTCAGGGAGGGGGAAAGGAAGGGAAAGAGGGATAGAATATGAAACTCAAAACTTTAAATAAAAAGGTTAAAAGATTGGGGAAAAAAACCAAAGGGTTTGAAATTCTATTTCTCTTTCCATAAGAAGGAAACAAGATGAAAGACAATCTGTAGCCATAAGCTTGTAACAAACAGACATGTTATAAGCAAGCTTGATCAAACCAATCTCAGCTTCACTCTTTTCTTTTGCAGTGCCAAGTACCAAGATTCTGGCTACTGGAGGAGCTTCACATAATAAAGACATCTTACAGGTGAGTATAGATAGTAGCCACTATCTATGCTGTCCATGCTCAGTCCCTGATTCTGTCACAAAATTGTAGAAATAAAGAACCATAGAGTTTCAGAGTTGGAAGGGACCTCATGGGTTGCCTGATCTCTCTAGGCTACAAAAATTCTTAGTCCTCTCCTGTCCTTAAAACAAAATAAAACAAAATAAAACAAAATAATCCCTTCCCTTGATCTGAGTTACTTCTCCAGCTCTCCTTTCTCCTTTATTGCCAAATTTCTAGGAAGAGTAACCTACACTTGCTACTCCCTTTTTTCAACACCCCCTTACTGTTCAATCCCCTGTGATCTGGCTTCCATCGTCTTCATTCAACCAAAACTACTCAAACTTCCCAGATCTGCTGGCCTTTTTACAATCGTATTTTCTTGGCTTCTTCATAGCATTTAGCATGGTTAGATGCCCCCCCCCTTTCTGAACACTCTTCTATCCTCCCTCAGCATCTATAACACTGTATTCTTCTAATTCTTTCCTTGTCTCTCTGTCTTTTCCTCTGCTTCTGCTGGCTCTCTGTCCTCCTCCTGCTTCCTAAATATGGACATCATCTAAGACTCTGACCTCAGCTCTCTTCCCCATTTATGCCCTCTCCTTTGGCAACTGCATTTATTCCCATGACTGTATATTAATAACTTTCAAATTTGTATCTGAAATCCTGAGCTATGTTTCCTTATTTTCAGTTGCTAGCTGGACATCTCCATCTGAACATCATGCCAGCATTATCCTGAGCATGCATGAGCTTAGAGTTTATTGCCTTTTGTGGCCAAAGATTAGCACAGAAACAGCCATAAGCTCCCTGGGAGTGATTCTGAGGAACACTGGCCAGAAGTGTAGACTGGGATTCCAGTGATGGCGGTAGGCCTATAGTTTTCTTACAGAGATTTTGGGACTCGTAGAAGTGTAAGGTGGGGTCTTATGTCAATCTTGGTTAGTCTGAAACTGGAGAGAGAAAATTGGGTGGAGTCTATATGAAAATGAATATCAACATTTGTGGGGAAAACTAGGGCAGTCACTGAAAATGGAGTCTGAGCGTACTGCAGAAGTCCTGATTTGGCAGAGAGATAAGGCGGGAACATGGTTTCAAGCAACTGGATCAAAGCAGCTGGCTAGTGTTTATGAAAAGAGCTTTTATTGTGCTCTATATTGGCTGAGCCAAGTGAAGCTTTTATCTGCAAGCTGGTCCTTCTACCCCCAGTGTGGTCATGGGAAGCCAACTGGCCCTATTCTTTCAGACACCTCAGACTCAGCAGATCCAAAATGGAATTCATCCTGCTCCCTGCCAAATCTGCCTCTCTGTCGCACGTGGGATCTGAGAACATACCTTAGGGTACTTGAGGAGACCCTCCATTTCTATCTAACAATGATTTATTAAATGCCTACTATGCGTTGGGTATCTAGGAACGTGTGTGTGTGTGTGTGTGTGCATGCACGCCCACACTTGTGATTTCACTGATATAAGGAATTACCTGTGAGAAAACCCTCTCTGTGGATGCAGACCTGAATTCTCTCGGCAGTTTGTAGATTAGGAACGTATCTGAAGCATTGAGAGGTAAAGTGAAAGTCAGGGTCATACAGTTAGTCTCTGTGAATGGTATGACTTAATCCTAGGTCTTCCTGATTCAGAGATCAGCTCTCTATTCACTATATCGTGTTACCTTTGAGGGATGCAAAAATGAAATGAAATACTGCCCATGACCTCAAAGAGTTTACATTCCACTGGGAAGATACAACATGTAAACAGAGAAAGATCTACGTGAGAATTTGAGCAGGAAGCAATGAGTGCTAACAACTAAGGGATAATAATATAGCTAATAATGATAAAGATAAAAAGGTAATAATAATAATAGCTAAGATGGAAAACAGAACTGCTAACATTTCTAAAGAGCTTTAAAGTTTACAGAGCACTTTCAAATATTATCTTATTCTATCATTATTCCCATTTTACTGTTGAGGAAACTGAGAGAAATTAAGTGACTTCACACAGCTAGTAAGTATCTGAAGCAGGATTTGTACCCAGGTCTTCTTTACTACAAATGAGGCACAGTATCCACTGTACCACATAGCTTCCTTGGAAATGCAGCCTCTAAAAATGCCTTCTTGTCATAAACTCAGCCTTTACCAACAGCCTGCCTTACAATGAGTAGAAAGTGAACTATGTAGCACAATACATAGAATGTTGAAAGACCAGAGTTCAAATGTGGTCTTGGACTCTTATTAGCTGTGTGATCCTGGACAAATCATCTAAACTTTGTCTGCCTCAGTTTCCTTCTCTGCAAAATAGAGATAATAGAACTTACCTCCCAAGTTTGAGAGGATAAAATGATTTACCACATGTAAAATGCTTTGCAACCTTCAAAGCTCTTTTTGAAAGGTATTGTTATTATTATTACTTAATTGTTGTTGGGTTTTTTTTGTTAGTAAATTGCTGAATACTGATCGCTTTGCATACAAAGTCAGTACCACTTACTGTCATAAGATACCATACGACCAGGCAAGGAAACACTTACACACACACACACACACACACACACACACACACACACACACACACACACACATACCCCACTACTACCTAGGTGGTGAGATGGATAGATCATTGTGCTTGGAAGCAAGAAGACCTAAGTTCAAATCTGGCCCCAGAAACTTACTATGTAACACTGGGCAAGTCACTTAACCTCTATTTGCCTCAGTTTCCTCATCTCCAAAAAGGGGAAAACAATACCTCCCAAAGCTGTTGTAAGGATGAATTGAGGGAATATTTGTAAAGTACTTAGCACAGTGCCTGGAACATAGTAGGTGCTATATACATGTTAGCTATTCTTATTAATCAAAGTGAAACATAGCCACATGAGGGAATTTTTTTCCTTGGGAAACCCAGATAACACCTCAGCTCCTTTTGTATGCCCCAGATGCTCAGCTAAGTCCTACTCTCTGCTCTTGGAGCCATCCAAATCACCTATTGGCATAGAGGTCATTTTTTTTTTTACCAGGCTAGCTCTTCTTTCTTACACCATCACAATTTTGAACACCATAGCTCTACAGCAGCACAATAATATGGCTCTTGCTTTCCCCCTTCCTTAGAGCTGACAGCAGGACCTACTATCCCTACCTGTGGTACTCACTTTTTGTTTTTAAGAGGGCTAACACCCTCCCTCTAACTTCCTCTATTTCTATTGATAGTGCAGTTATCTTCCCAATCACACAAGGCTCAACAGCTGGATTATCCTGGTCTCTTTTCTCTCTCCTTCACTGTTACTGAGTCCTGACGTGTCTACCTCTGCAAGATCTTTTATATCTCCCCCCTTCTTTCCATTGTCCCTGCTACTACCCTAGTTCAGGCCTTCATCTTCTCACGCCTAAACTGTTGTAATCATTCCCTAGCTGACATCCTGCCTCCAATCCTTTCCCTTTTCCAATCCATCCTTCTCACTGCTACTGAAGTAATCATCCTAATGCACAGCTCTGATCTACCCATTCACTTCCTCAAGACCTTCAATGACCCCCATGGTCTACATAGTAAATTCTGAAATTCTAGGTCTCTCACAATGGGACTCCAACTTACCTTTCTACTACTACTCACTTTCATGGATGCTACATTTCAGCCAAATGGGACTACTTTTACCTTTCTCCTTCATTTTCATGCCTTAGTTTTTTGTCCGCCACTCCTGGATTGAACTTTCCCCTATCTATACCCATTGAAATCCTTTCTTTCCTTTAAGACCAAAATTGTGTTGCCTCTCCCAGGAAGCCAGTCCTGCTCATACCAGTTGAAAGTTGTCTGTCCCTCAGAATCTTCCAGACACTCTGTTTGGACTTCTCCTTTGCACTTGAAATATTCCAATTTGTCTTATATTTAGGTCCATATCTTATCTACACTATCTCTAGGACAGAGATTTTCTCATTTGCTTTTTGATTTCAAAGCACATAGCCCAATGCCTTTCCCTTAATAAATGCCATTTTAAAATGTTTGAACTGAAGTGAAACCTCTCCTCCAGTGCAGGAATCCCCACAATAGTGTCCCTGACAAATAGCTTATCTGTCCTTTTTTAAACGCCTTCAGCGGTAGAGAGCCATTACATCAATCTTTTCCAGTTTTGGAAAATTCTGGCCTCTGCAGATACGACTTCTCTTTTTTCTCATGATAATCCTTCAGATATTTGAAGATACCTTCAAATCCACTATATACCTACAGGTACTCCATCTTCATCTATATCTGTATAAATCCTCTTCTTTCATTAATACCTAGCTTAGATGCTGCCTCTTATTCCAAGTCTTCCTTGTTCCCCCTAAAAATAATAAGTCTTTCCTGAAGTGTTAAAAAAAAACTTTTCTGGATCTCTCCTTTGCCTTTATAACATTCAGCCTTATATTGTGCTTATGTGTCCACGTGCCACTACCACCATACTCACATTATATTTAATGTAAGCTCCTGGAGGGTCCTGACGATGTAATTCTTCATGTTTGTTATCCCAGTTTTTAGCACACTGCCCTAAATGTAGTAAGTATTTAATAAATATTCATTGAATTGAATTAAATTAGAATCAAAAGTGGAGGCAGCCAGGGTAAACCACACTGATGAGAAGTTGAAAAGCGAAAAAAAAAAAGAATAGAGACCAGACAATGGCTCCAAGAAGCAATGGCATCCAGTGAAAATGTTTTCGAGATGGAAATTTGAATGTGTTTGAAACCAGAAGGCCAGGGCCCTGTGGAAAGGGAGCTAAGAGAATGAGAACTGGAAATGCCAATTCTCACTAATGGAAATGACTCACTGTAAGATAATGGAAACTTCATGTTCTCCCACAGGTTTTGTCTGATGTTTTCAATGCCCCAGTGTACACTATTGAAACTGCCAATTCAGCTTGTTTGGGATGTGCTTATAGAGCAATTCATGGTAAGATTATTGGTAAATATGGGCACCAAATGAGATTCATGGTCCTGCTGTTTAGTGCTTTTCCTTGTGCTAGTCATTCTTTTAAAAATGACATCCTTTTCCCCATCCTTCAAGGCCCAGTTCATGTGCCATCTTCTCCATGAAGCTTTCTTTGATCACCCTAGGTGGAAGTTATCCCTTCCTCCTTGGAGACCCTATAAAACTTTGTCAATCTCCTTGTTTCATAGCTATTTGTGTACATGTCTCATCTTCTATGCTAGGTTGCAAGTTCTTTGAAAGCTGGAATTACGCCTTATTCATCTTCACATCCTCCAAAGTGTCTAGCCCTTTGATGTTGATTGACCAGTAAATCAATCAAAAAACATTTATTAAGCACCTGCTTTGTACTGAGCGCTGGGCTAAGATAGTAGGAAGTTAGCAAATGTTTGTTGAATGAATGAATGAAGACTGCCACATATTGTATTTCTGATAACATAACCGTCTACTTCTTGGGGAATGTTGGTTTCACCACCCTTCTTCTCATTGAGTAAGAGTTCTTCTGTTCTTGAACATCCACTGCTTTGCTCCCTTTGAACTAGAAAAGCAGGTGAGTATTGACAAGTACTGAACACTGTCTCACCCCTATCCCAAGAATGGGAAGGAAAAGTGCTGGAGAGAGTGAGAAGAGTAGGCTTTGATGAGAAAAGAACTCTCAATCATCAGGTTGCCAGTCCAGTGGGACATTCAGAACAGATAGGTGAACGTGAAGACAGTAGCAAAATCTTTGGTGAGGATGGGCTTTTATCCTCAGAGCCCTTGACCTACTCAGTAGAATCCACCTTCTAGGTGGAATGCTTGGTTAGCAAAAGAACCTTATCCATTTTATACTAAGCTTAGTCCTTATATGGCCAAGAATTCTCATTCCTTCTCTACTATACTCTACCCTCCCTGAGGCTTTATGTGTTCATATCAGGCAGTCAAGTCATATCCTCTAGCCTAACTGGGGACTCCATAGTAAATGCCCATGTCCCTTGGGGAGCTGAGGTGTTCCTGTATGGGAAGAGTGGGAAAGCCCTCTCTGCCTCTTCATTAGATGAGTTTTAACTTTAAGGACCTATAACTTAAACTGCTATACCTTAGGGGCCAAAGAAAGGAATCCAACCCTGGGGTTCTGACAGGAACAGTAGCATAATACAAGAACGGGAAGGGTAAAGTCACTGACCTCCCTATCCCTTTGCTAAAAAGAATTCCTGATTCTTTTTTTAGGATCTTGTCCTGATGTAACCCCATCTCTCCATCACCTTGTTTTTCTACCATCCCCTTTTCTTCCTTCACCAGCTTCTGTGAAATAAAAAAAGAAGCACAGGAAGGAAAGGAAGTTATGGCTGTTTTCCTGCTGCCAAGCATAGAACAGTTTAATGGCTAGAGCCCTCTCATTAAATCTTAACAGTTGAATTCCATTCAGGCACCCTCATATTCTACTGAATTCAATGTCTTCCCATAGCTAAGCCATTGTCCCTGAAAAGCCAGCCTCTCTTACCTTCTTCTCTGGTCTCTTCTCTTGTGGGGTATAGACATGGATGTGGTAACTCTTTAGGTCAGGCACTTCCCCTTCCTTCTCTGGCCTCTTCCGGAAGATTATGTAGATGTAGCCATCTGATATAACTGAGCCGACATCTTTGTACTTCCATGTTTTCAATACAAATTCAGAGTTAAGCTTAATTCTGTTGCCTACTTCCTACATCCCATTAGAATATGGCTATTAGGGGCAGCTAAGTGGCACAGTGGATAGAACACCGGCCCTGAAGTCAGGAGGACCTGAATTCAAATCTGGCCTCAGACCAAACACTTGACATGTACTAGCTATGTGACCCTGGGCAAGTCACTTAATCCCAATTGCCTAAAAAAAAAAAAAGAATGTGGCTGCTGCCATTTTCTAGTCTTTTTGTGGGCTGCTCTATCACAACAGAGGAACAATAGACCATCTATATCTTCCAATAAAGTAATGGAATCACAAAATCTTAAAATTTTGTTTTATTTTTGTTTAGTTTTGTTTCATGAGGTCCATCCTTCAATTCAAGAACTATTTATTAAGCACTTAATGTGTTTAAGAACATGACTGCTACAAATACATACTCTTGGCACTCATGGGCTTACAATCTAGTACAACAGATGGTACATATACATAAGTAACTACAATGAAACAGAATATGGTAAGTGAATAAGAAGCATAGATGAGAATGAGATCACTAATGGGTGAGGAGATCGGGAGCTCATGGTGAATATGGCATTTAAGCTAAGGTTGGAAGATAAGTGGCATTTCAGTGAGTCTATATGAGTGAGGGGATAGAGACAAGGCATTCCAGGTACAGGGAATGTAGTTTTAATTCCAAGGGCCATCCCTCCTCTCTCCTTAGGGACCATTCATCGATCATATCTCCTTGGGATTATCCTTCATTCCTCCTCATTTCCCTCATCTTCATCTTTCCTCAAGGATAATTTCTCATGCCTCCTCAGGGACAAGCTCTCATCTTTTCTTAGTGACCAGCCCTCCTCATTCTTTTTCTGGAACCAATTCTCAATATTTTAGCCTTTTAGTCCAAAATATGATTTATCCTTCCAGGCCTTGCAGTAGGGGAAATGTTTCCTTTGCTGATATCATGAAATCAGCTCCGGAGCCCAGATTAGCGGCCACACCAACTGCTGGAGCAGCTCAGGTGAGCACATCTGGTAGGGATGGGGAGGAGGGGGAGTGGAGCCATTTCCAGATTACTTTGTAACTAGAGCTAGTTAAGCATATCGTGTGTCAAACCCAGTAAGAGCTGGGCTTGCATTTCTGAAATAATGAGCCCCGTTCCAAGAAGGCTCAGAGGTCACATTGCCTAAGAAATAATTGTGAAATGAGCCTTTTCTGTCTCCGTTGGACGTGAAGACAAGGAACTCTCCAGGAGCTTGCCCTCTTCCCCTCACTGGCCACTTCAAGGATTTACTCCTACACTCACTCTGTGTGGTGAGCAGGCCCAGAGCTCCTTAGGCTAATTCTCCTTCCTTCCTTGAATCTTTAGAAGAGGCTGATCCGTTCAAAACAGCCACTCTCTACTGGGAGCTTCCTTTAAATGAACCATCTGTCATTGTGCCTGGTACTTATTTATACACACAGTGTTTTTTTCTCAAAGGATTTCTAAGATCATCATAGATTCATGCTTATTCTGTCCTCATAAAATGCATTCATATCCCACGTTCACATGAGACAGCAGGAGGCAGGCAGAACCAGCACTGGCCTGGGAGTCACAATGATGAGTTTTAATCCTGGATTTACTTGGTGCATGATCTTGGGCAAGTCATCACGTCATCCTTATGAGACTCAGTTTCCTCATCAGTAAAATGGAGGGAACACCTGCCTTCTTTGTCTTGCTAAGTCATTTAGGGGATCAAAAGAGTTAACATAGGTAAAAGCACTTTGTTAAATGTTAAATGCTATGTAAAGTTCAAGAGCATAAATCTAGAGCAGAAGGGACTTTACAAATCATCTAGGTACCCTTCTTTTTTTTTACAGATGAGGAAACTGAGGCCAAGAAAGGATAAGTGACTTGCCCAAGGTCACACAGGGAGTAAGTGGCAGAGACAGAATTTGAATCCAGGTTTTCTGACTTCAAAACCTGTGCATTTCTACTATATATTTTACAGATGAAGAAACTGAAGCAAAGTAAAGAGAGGGGATTGGTCTACAGTCTTAGGGGTGGATGATTCTATTGAATTCTACTGAGCAAATCTTTATTGAGTCCCTACTGTGCGCAAGGCACTGTGGTAGATGTTGGGGATTCAAAAACAAAAAGGGTTGGAACACAATTTTACTTGTAGCCCGGTACCTTGTCGAGCAGCCTCAATAGTCTCAGTGAAGCATTGATCGTTCTTCTCTCCTGGAATGGCTTCTCTCCCCAAGCTAATCCAAATCAGCCAGCATGAAAAAAAACCCCAACAACTTGGAGACCTCAGAAGAACATGTGAACAGACAATGAGATGCTACAGCTGCTGCATTCAGATTTTCAGATTCAGCCCTATGTTAATAATTTATTATAAACCGAAATGCTTGGCTTCTTGGCTAATTAAGCAAAGAGGCATAAGAGGAAATAGGATTATCCTGAGATAATCACATCTGACCATGATATGGAGTAAAATCCAGTTACAAAAGATCATAATAACAGTCTCTCACATTTGTATAGCATTTTACAGTTCACAAGGTGCTCACATCCATTATCTCATTTCATTCTCAGAACAACCCTATGATTTGGGCAGGGCAGGAATCATAGAATCATTGACTTGGGGATGAAAAGGACCTTTAAACTCATCAAATACAAGTCCCTCAATTTACATAAGGGGAAACTGAGGCCCAGATAGTGACTCCCTCAAGGTCCCACAGCTATTAAGTGTCAAAGGTGAGAAATGAACCAAAATCTTCTTGACCTGAACTCCAGGACCTCATCAACTATACCATATTGTCCCTCATGATTATTTCCCCCTTTTTATAGAAGAGGAAACTGAGGACTAGAGATGCGAAGTGCTTTGCCCAAGGTCATAGTGTTAAAAGGATCAGACAAGGGGAAAGTTATATTTTCTAATGGAAAGTATAAGCTCAAGATCATCCTATTAGAAACTACATTGTTCGTGGTTCCTACTTTGAGGTTCTGTATCTTACACTGCTTTCTTACATGATCACAGGAACCCCAAGAAGTCATACCTGATATCAGAGGGCTACGGCTTCAAATTTCCATGAAGAGAGGATGATCAATGAGGGAATGTTGTCATGGCAAGGGAATGGGAGAAAACATGGAAATGGAGCCACTGAGGGATGGGGATGGCAAAAGATGCTGGGTCATAGAGCTTCCCAAAAATGAGGCCAAGTATCAACTTGATGAGCAGGCCATCAGCTGAGTTTCTTGAGGATAAGCTAGCCAAGATGAAGAAGGTGCTAGGCTTTGCCTGCCAGGTGTCAAGGTTACAGAGGACCACAGAAGCAAAACTACCCACAGCAGGTGTGGAAGATGGCCAAGACGGTGATCCTCCCCCCACCCCGTTTGCAGGGGGTGCCTGGAGTGGAAGAAACTTTCTTCTCAGACTGAGCTGAGGGGCATAAGTGAAGCAAGCTGTGGAGGAGTGGTTGCTAAGAGGGGTGCTAATGTTTTGTTCTTTCTCTTTTTTACTTCTCATTTTCTTTTCTGTTTCAACTGAATGCATTTGCTGATTCTGTGTTGTAGCTTGCCTGGGTTTCTATTAATGCAATGATAATTAAGAATTCAGGCCTGAGTTGACTTTAGAGGCCTTCCCCTTCACAGTGGAGTGAAGACTTAAGTCATGAGTGTGGGGTATATTTACTGCAAATAGCACCCATGAAGATGAACCCAAGTCTATGAAGCATTAGTGAAGGTTGGCCCATAGGCAACTTTAATAGTTCTTAAATTGGGGTCTGTGCATTTGTGTTTTAAATTATATTGACAATACAATTAGTTTCTCTGTAACCCTATGTATTTTATTTCAGTCATTTAAAAACCTTACTGAAAGGGAGTAAGCATTTATATAGGACCTTCCATTTGCCACATACTATGCTAAGCATTTTTTTAAACAAATATCATCCTTGATCCTCATAACAATTCTGCAAGGTAGGTGCTATTATTATTTTCACCATTTTACAGTTGAGGAAACTGTAAGTGACTTGCCCAGGGTCACACAGCTAGCAGGTATCTAAGGCTGCATTTGAACTTGGGTCTAGGCCCAACACTCTATCACTTACCACTAGCTGCCTCCATTCTGAGAAGAGGTCCATAGACTTTATCAGACTGCCAAAGAGGCCCAGGACATACTAAAAGGTTAAGAATCTCTTCTCTGTCTCCTGTTATCTCCCAAAGTCCTTTCCTCAGAGGACAGAGCCCACAGGCCACTTATACATCTGTTTACCAATTAGTGGTATAATTCATTTAAAAAACCCATTTAACATGGGTTTGGTATGTTCCTTCCCAGAGCAAATAACCATGGAGACAGAAGAAGACCAGAGTTTGTTGTGATTTTGTGGAATTTGTCATCTCCCGGTAGGGAAGTGCTAGTCTCATAAGACAGTTACTGAAGCTCGTGTCTAGCCTATAGCTTTGACCCAGCAAGGCTTGCTGGTAGAGTGAGGCCAAACACAAGCGTAAAGACCTTTCAGACATGAGCAGGTTTCACGCTGTGATAATGACTTTGATGACTATCCCTGGGTCAAACCTATTAGTTTTTAGGATGATAGAGGGAATTTACATTTTGGAGTTGTATGTAACATTGCATGTTCTTTCTTCCTTTAGACATTATTTGTAGGAAAGGAATCATAATAATTGCCTCAGGAATTCACTTAGGAGAAGGCATTTAAGCTGTAGTCAGTGAAATAGGCCATGAGAAATTCAAGAACAATATTCTATCCGCACACCTATTAATATCATTTTATCCCCTTAATAAGTTGCAGTAGATTGTCTAATAACTGGCTAATGTCCCAAGGGGATAATTGGGGTTTTCTGTTTTTAAGATTTTTCAGCCAGTTTGGCCAAGGCCATCAGGGAAAATGCATTTTTGCATTTCTTTAGCATAATTGGGATTTTTAGCATCTAAACAGTATTTTCATTTCATTTAGGACTAAGAATCTGATCCCAAATAATGCCACATATACTCCCAGCAGGAGTAAAGATGCTATGCATTATTATTACTGTGTGTTGTTATAACAGTCATTCTTACCTCATTCATATACCCAGGTAGAATTTGTGTGTGAGAGTCCTAGGATTAGGAAATGTGGTAATTAACAGCTAGCCCCTCTGTCAGATGCCCATACCTGTGTGCCAAGGTACTTAGGCCATATGGTCACCATTACTAACCATTCAGAAGTAGAAAAAATATATAATTCATCAAATACTCCACCATTCATATGACAAAGGGACAAAAGATGACAGGGTAAATGGAGATCCCAGGGTTCATAGGTAGAGAGCGAGAGAGGACCTCATAGGTCATCTAGTCCAAACCCTCGATTTTATAAATGAATAATACACGTTAAAATTTGTATGAATTATATGAATAACCTTAATATTATTACCCTATTTGAATAATATTATTATCATATGAATAATATTAGTATTATTGTCCTAATTTTATACATGAGAACACTGAAATTCAGAGAAGGTGAGATTTCCCAAGGTCACACTGGTAGAGTTATGATTTGAATCAGACATTCTCATCTCAAGCCCAGTGCTCATTCTGCTGTCCCATGTAGCATTACCATGCTGTTTAAGGAAATGGTGGGTTTAGGTTCAAATTCCATCCCTGACATTAATTTTGTGGCCTTGGTCAAGTCACTTAATGTCTCTGTGCCTCAGTTTCCTCATCCACCAATAAATGAGGGAGCTAGACTAGGTGACTTTTGTAGTTCCTTTCAGCTCTAGAACTATGATTTTGTGATTCCTGAACTCCATTTTAGCTCATAGGTTCCACCTTATTCTCACCAAACTCCAACTACAAATACTACCAAGTGATGGTTACCCTGTCCAACCTGAGACCCATCCCCAGAGCACAGAGGGTCATAATTCTACAAACATAGACCCCAGTTGTCCATTTGGTCAGTGAAAGTCCTTGGTTCCAGTTTATAATGAAGGGGAAACCACAAGAAACTGATATGCCTTCAACATGGTTGAGGGTGGCGGTCACTGATGGAACATAGCTAGTTCTTTGGTAGTGGTAACAATTGGGAAATTATGTCCATCATGTGTTTGGCTGTAACAATCTATTAAGCTATCTACTAAGTCTTGGAAGAGGAGTTGCAGTCTGTATAAGTGGAAAGAGAACTCGTGCTGAGGAAATCAATTGAAGTCTTTGAAGTCCTATATTAAATTTGCATAGTACCTAACAATTTTCCACATCCGTTATCTCATTTGATCCTGTCAACTCCCCAAGGGTCATGACTGAATGTTCTACCTCTCTTGTAAGTAGAGAAACCAAATACCTCTTATGTGCTGGGCACATAGTTCATTCAATTCAACAAACATTTTTTAAACACCTGCTACGTATTATTTACTGTAGTAAGTGCTGGCAATACAGTGACAAAAACAAAATAGTCCTTGTTCTCAAAAAGCTTATAGTCTACTGGGAGGATACGACGTGTACAAAGAGAAATAAACAAATATACACACTTACAAAGTAATTCAAGGGGTAAAGAAGTCAATAACAAAAGAAAGACCCCATATATACCAAAACATTTAAAGCAACACTTTTTTTAGTAACAAAGGAAACAACAGATGTTCATCCATTGTGGAATAACTAAACAACTTGTGATACATTAATGGGATAATACTGCGCTGTAAGAAATGATGAAAATGGTAAATACAGAGAAGCTGGGAAGACATATGGGAACTGATGCAAAGTGAAGGAAGCCAAACCAGGAATACACACACACACACACACACACACACACACACACACACACACACACACACACGATGACCACAACAATGGAAATGAAAAGAACAACAACAAAAAACAATCAAAACTAAATGTTGCATAATTGTAATGACTAAGCTTGGCCCCAAAGAAGAGATATGTGCTTCCTGTGAATCAAGAGTATGGAGCACTGGATATAACATCAGACTTTTTCAATATGTTGGTTAATCTTGGTGAGCTTTCTTTTCTTCCTTTTTAAAGCTCTCTATTGTAGGAGATGGTGCTCTGGAAAGAAATGGGGGAGAAATACAGTGGGAAATGTAGATATGTAAAAACACAAAATATTCATAACATGCATTTTTTTAAAAAAAGTAATTTCTAAGGGAGCCCTAACAACTGAGAAGGACTGGGAAAGGCCTCATGGAAGCAGTATTACCTAAGCTGAGCTTTAAGAGGAGTTATAAGTCCACTTGTTGATCACCCACTATCAAAAGAATTCTAAGAAGAAAAAAAATGAATGGTATAAAACATTATCTGTATTCTTAAGCAGCTGATTGTTCTTCCAGAAACACAGCTGACACTAATGAAAGACTTAGTGAGTATCTCCTGGCAAGACACTATATACATGTGAAGTCCAAGGATTAGCCCAGCTAAGTATAAAAAGACTCATTACCAATCATGACTTTTTTCAGCTACAACATTTCATAAAGACAATCTAGGGCCTGTTATCAGTGTCTTAATCCAGGGCTACACCAGGGATAGACGCTTCCTTCCATCAGAAACCAACCAAGATCTAGTGTCTGAGCTCACCACAGTTCAATGTCTACCTTGGTGATTAAACTCTCATTTTTGAAAAATGTGACCAGGTGGCACAGTAGATAGAGCAGCAGCCCTGATGTCAGGAGGATCTGAGTTCAAATCTAGCATCAGACCAAACACTTGACACTTAGTAGCTGTGTGACCTTGGGCAAGTCACTTAACCCCAATTGCAAAAAAAAAAAGGTCGCTAGGTTATGTGAAAATCAAATGAGGTAAGAAGCCCAAAGAAAGGGAGGAGTGACTTTCATTTTCTTTTTTCATTTCACTTTCACTTCAAGGTCACATAGGAAGTAGCAGGGTCTAGCTTTGAACTCAGGTTCTTTGACTCCAAGTCAAATCATCTCACCATCATACCACATTACATCACCTTCTTAGCAGTACTTTGCTTTGCATTAAAGGACTTGTAGGTATAAATCCATCTTCAACAACAAGAAGCTGCAATTTCATCTGTCTAGGGAATTCCCAAGGAAGAACTCTCTCTATCAATGTGGCTATACAACTTAGAGAGGGTCATATGGCCAATATGTGTCAAAGGTAGGACTTGAAAGGTAAGTGTTTCCTTCCATGATGACATTTCTGTATGTACTACACCATGATGCCTCTCAAATCCATTTTTGCTAGGATGTAACTTTTAAAATCATTTAAATGGGCCATAAGAAGTTGTGCAAGCCAAGACTGTGGGTAGTTCTCCACCCTACCAAACATGACAACTCTCCAAATTCTCAGTTGATTTGTTCTTGTTTCAGGTCTATGGGCCACTCCTCAAGAGGTATGCTGAGTTGGAGCAGCAAATTGTCCTGCAGTCTCATGCACCACCCAACTGAAAAGTCAGGGTTCTAAGAGGCTGCCCCAGAATTGCCATGAATGTTGAAAAGAGGAATCAACATGTTTTGAAATTTCCTGTGATTGCTCCTGTTTCATCCTCTGGTTAATCAAGCATAATGAATCGGGGTCCAATTCAACAGTCTCCTTCTCCAGGAAGCTGCCTTTCATCACTGGTCTACGCTGAGCCCTCCTACAGCAAACCTGATTGTGCACTGCCATCACCTGTTGTCTATTTCACTGATGAATCTTGTTTTCCAGCTAGACTGTAATCACCTTGAAGAAAGGGATCAGATTCTAAGTATAAGGTTTCCCTGACCAATGTCTCACAAAAACATCGTTAATAGATTTTAACTAAACTCCCTGATAAAGTGAGGAACTGTAACATGGTTTCACCTGAGCTTTTGCCAAAGTGGTTTACAAAGTTAGGTGGAACATGCATATCACTTCTATTCCATGTACTTTCAAGCCTGAGCACTCATTAAGGGCTTACAAAAATGAATTGAAAGCAAAATAAAAATAATAATGACCTACATATACAACCCTTTTAAGTTTACATAACACTTCATATCTCATTTGAGCTTCACAGTAAAGTGGGTATGAAAAGTATTATTATGTCCATTCTGTAGATGAAGAAACTAAGACTCAACTAGGAAGTATGAGACAGGACTTGAACCCAGGTCTTCCTTACTCTGTTCTAACTACCACGTCATGTCCTGTTCAAAATCTGGGTCTTAGCAGTTATCACAAATAAGGGTCAGATCAGTCATTGGTACAGGCAGCCAGTGAAGGTTCCAACAGCAGATAATGGGATGAAGGGCCCAATAAACAGCATCAGGAAAGTCATAGCAAGAGAGATTAAGGAGCTCATCTTTGAGAGACAGAGCAGGGTAGGAAGTGCTAGGCAGGTAAAGTCACTGGGAAACTGGTACAAGGCAGGAACTTGTCAGTAGGGACTTGGATGCGTCTATTGTTTTGTGGTGAAAAGACTACTAGATTTTGGAGTCAAAAGTCTTGGATTTGAATCCTAGCTCTGCTATTTAATACCATGTTACCTTGATCAAGGTATCTTCTCTTTTAAGTCTAGTTTCTTCATCTGTAAAAATATGTAGAAGGGGTTGGCCTAAATCAAAGTGTCAAACTCCAAGGGGCTAGCAAAACTCTGAGTGCCCTACAACCAGACTAAGATGTAATTGGGAAATGTTTAACAAAATAAATAAAAATACAATATCATATTGATCATATTAATTTGTGGTTTTCTAAGTCAATAAGTACCCAGAGGAATCCATTTCTATTTGAGTTTGACACCATTGACCTAGATGATATTTAAGATCTGTGTCAGCTCTAACATTCTGTGATGCTATAAGATACCATTTTAGAAAGGACATTAGTGAGTGAACTTGTAATTTTGTGAATCACCTACCCACCAAAGATGTATTGTAGTGTAGTGGAGAAAGTATTGATTCTAGAACCAGGGTGCCTGGGTTTGAATACTGGCACTGCTTCTCTGTACTATATGGTCTTGGGCAAATCACTCACCCTCTCTGAGCTAGATTATTTGAGAACCAAGCATGGTTCACTTGGACAGGGATAGGCCATTATGCCAAGGCCAGAGCTGTGCCTCAGGCTTCCTTGCTTTTGGGTGTTGGACACCACAGCCTTCAAAGTCGTAATGAACACAAAAGAAATAATCAGTATCTGCCTGTTCTATAAAATGAGGCAGCTTGTATTAGGTCAGGGATTCTTAAGCTGGTGTCCATGAACTTGCTTTTAAAAATGTATTTTGGTAACTATCTCAATATAATTGGTTTCCTTTTTCATCATATGTATTTCATGCATTTAAAAATATTATCTGAGAAGGGGTTCCTTGGCTTCACCAGACTGCCAAAGGGATCCATGACACAAAAAAGGGTGAGTTATCTAAAATTTTCTAGACCTCTAAGATTCCTTTCAGTTCTAATTCTCATGCGGAAGCTACCCAGAAACCAAGGTGATCAATGGATTTTTCCTTTTCTCGAGACTCAACCCAAAGTGTTCATGTTTAAGAAAACCAGCAGAATTGGCAGGGTTTTTTCTAGTCATGATTAAGAATTAAGCATTTGTCCTTGCACTGAACAGAAATGTTGGGTTTTTTTAATTTGATGGTGCATCCATGATACAATGATAAGAGCACTAAGTTTGTAGTCAGACCTGGTGTCAAAGAGACTTCAGTTTAAATTTCCAATCCTACCATCGGAGTTTGAATGTTGACTGTAACATTACTTCTTGCTACAGTGGCCTGATTTCCCCATCTCCCTGCACCTGGGTGGGTTGGCCAAAGCCTCTAAGTTTCCTCATAGCTTTAGAAAATATGATCCCATTGAGGCACTGAAATTTTTTTTAAAATGTTGTTGTTTTGCCTAGCCCTGGATTTCATTGGTCTGGCCTCTTGCTTCAGCTGCTGTTGCTGCCATTGCCACCATCACCACAATCAAGTTCTTTCTTGGATTTACACTCAGCAATGTGGTTGGGATGTGTCTGGCTCAGGACTGAGAAATTCCAAACTTGGCCAAAAAGCTTGAAGACATTTTAAAAAATGCAGATGCCAAGAAGAAACCCCCTAGCCTTTACTGCCAACATATAGTAATGCCATCTAGACGCTTTCCTATCTGAAGCAAAACCTACTATGGTTATTCCTTCCACATTGCGTCTTTCCCCATCACAGTTTTGACAGCATGAGTCAGCATAAGAAATTAAATGGGAATTTGGGGGGAGTTTTGTGGAAGCTGCAGATGACGTGTGAAGGCCAGTACACATTTAGGAAAAAGTTTAGAAACTCAGAAATGCATAAAATATATGTATAGTATTGTATAATATCAACCCAAATTTTACAGTAAGGTACTGTAAACACCCCATAAAAGAAAAAGAAAAAATTCAGACTTCTTCTCTGGTACAAAAGGAGGGCCAAAAAATTTTATGCAGATTTTCCAGATGGGGGTGTATGCCCCTACCCCCTGCGATATGGAAGGGATAACTGTATTCTACCCTCCAGGATAGGATGACTTTCTTAACCCTGAGAAACACTGAGCTGCCTTTAAGCTAAAACACACCCACAACATCAAAACTCCCCTTATTACTTCCCCTGGATTCCTCTGATCCTTATATCTACATGGGAGATTCTGAGACTTAAATCATGATGTTTGATTATGAACTGCTAGTTTTGATTTCCCTTACCTTTTTAATTGTGAATTTCTAGTAATTAGGGAGCTCCTGTGAAGAGACTTCCTCTCCCAGTACAGATCATCCCCTTCTCTGAGAGGTCAAGTGATTTGCTCTGAGTCATGTATGCAATATGTGTCAAAGGCAGGTTTGGACTTAGTTCTTCCTGTTTTGGAGATCAAATCTCTGCTCTCTATGCTTTGGTGCTTTATCACAGGAGGAAAAGTCTTAGCTTACTAAATAAGGTCATCTAGGCACATTGTAAAGTTAATTTCTATATATAGAATTATATTTTTCCTGTTGACTTTCTTTTTTTTATATTAATTTATTTATTTTTAGTTTTCAACATTTACTTCCAGAAGATTTTGAGTTCCAAATTTTCACCCCATCTCACCCCTCCCTCCACCCCAAGATGGCATGCACGAATACCCCTTCCCCTAGTCTGCCCTCCCTTCTATCTCTCCCCCCCACTTCTCTTATCCCCTTCCCCTTCTATTTTCTTGTAGGGCAGGATAGACTTCTGTACCCCATTTCCTGTATTTCTTATTTTTCCAGTTGCATGTGAAAACTTTTTTTTAAACATGTGTTTTTAAAACTTTGGGTTCCAAATTTTCTCCCTTCCTCCCTTCTCATCCACCCTCATTGAAAAGGCAAGCAACTCAACATAGGTTATACATGTGCAGTTATGCAAAACACTTCCATAGTAGACATGTTGTGAAAAAATAACTCTTATTTCTTTTAATCCTGTCCTGCCCCCCCATTTATTCTATTCTTTCTTTTGACCCTGTCCCTCCTCAGAAGTATTTGTTTCTGGACTACCCCCTTTCCCAATCTACCCTCCTCTCTATCATCCCCCTGCTCTCTTGTCCCCTTCCCTCCCTATTTTCCTGTAGGGTAAGATAGATTTACACACCCAATTGAATGTGTATTATTCCCTCGTTAAGCCAAATCCTATGAGAATAAGATTCACTCATTTCCTCTCACCTTCCCCCGTTTCCCCTCCATGGTAAAAGCCTTTTCTGTTTTTTGGTGAGATAATTTACCTTGTTCTATCCTGTCCTTTTCTTCTTCTCCTAGTATAATCTTCTCTCATCCTTCAATTTTATTCTTCAGATGTGACCCCTTAATCTTCAACTCACCCTATGCCCTCTACCTACCTGTCTATCTATCTATATACATACATATAATTTTTCCCCCTCCAACAACCTTAATACTGACAAAGGTCTCATGAATTATAAATATCATCTTTCCATGCAGGAATGTGAACAGTTCAACCTTAATAAGTCTCTTATGATTTCTCTTTCCTGTTTACCTCTTCATGTTCCACTTGAGTCTTGTATTTGAAAGTCAAATTTTCTATTCAGCTCTGGTCTTTTCATCAAGAATGCTTGAAAGTCCTCTATTTCATTGAATGACCATTTTTTCCCCCTGAAGGATTAATACTCAGTTTTGCTGGGTAGGTGATTCTTGGTTGTAATCCTATCTCCTTTGCCCTCTGGAATATTATATTCCATGCCCTGCAGTCCTTTAATGTAGAAGCTGCTAAATCTTGTGTTATCCTGATTGTGTTTCCACAATACTTGAATTGTTTCTTTCTGGCAGCTTGTAATATCTTCTCCTTGACCTGGGAACTCTGGAATTTGGCTACAATATTCCTAGGAGTTTTCCTTTGGGGATCTCTTTCAGGAGGAGATCTTGGATTCTTTCAATTTCTATTTTGCCCTCTGGTTCTAAAATATCAGGGCAGTTTTCCTTGATAATTTCTTGAAAGATGATGTCTAGGCTCTTTTTTTGATCATGGCTTTCAGATAGTCCAATAATTTTTAAATTCTCTCTCCTGGATCTATTTTCCAGGTCAGTTGTTTTTCCAATGAGATATTTCACATTTTCTAATTTTTCATTCTTTTGGATTTGTTTTACAGTGTCTTGATTTCTCATAAAGTCACTAGCTTCCAATTGCTCTATTCTAATTTTTAAGGAAGTATTTTCTTCAGTAATCTTTTGGACTTCCTTTTCCATTTGGCCAATTTTTCTTTTTAGGGCATTTTTCTCCTCATTGGCTTTTTGGACCTCTTTTGCCATTTGGGTTAGGCTATTTTTTAAGGTGTTATTTTCTTCAGTATTTTTTTGGGTCTCCTTTAGCAAGCTGTTGACTTGTTTTTCATGATTTTCTTGCATCACTCTCATTTCTCTTCCCAGTTTTTCCTCTACTTCTCTTACTTGCTTCTCAAAATCCCTTTTGAGCTCTTCCAAGGCCTGGGACTGATTCATATTTTTCTTGGAGGCTTTGGATGTAGGAGCTTTGACTTTGTTTTCTTCTGGTTGTATGTTTTGATCTTCTACATAAGAATATAGTCTGACTCTTTTTGAGCTGCTTGCTCATGATCCCAGCCAATTACTTGAGTTTTAAACTCTTTGTTAAGGTAAGAGTCTGGTTCCAGTGTGGAGAATGTACTGTCCCAAGCTTCGCGGGTTTATACAGCTGTTTTCAGAGATACTTGGAGGGACCTGTAAATTTTCAGTTCTTGCAAGGTGGTATGATAAGGGGTGAGGTGTTTACTCCTTTCCTGGCCTGTGCTCTGGTCTATTAGTGACCACAAGCACTCTTTTCTGTCCTGGAGCTGTGAAGAAGGTTTCCTGTCCACTGCCACTACAAGCTCCACCATACCAGCACTCCTCCTCACCCCAGGACCACTGCCCAAAACTGTGACCCAGGTCCAAGCATGGGAAAAGCAAGCGATTCCTGCCTCAGCACTGGCAAATAGATCCCTGAAATCCCCCTCTGATCAGCCACTCGATCCCCCCTCAGTCTGTGGGCTGGAAGCTCAGAATGCAGCCACCGCACCAGCACCCAAGCTCTGCGTTCTGTGCTCTGGAGCTGGCTCTGACCTAGCTCCTCTCTCATCGCAGAAACAGACTTTTCCCACTGACCTTCTAAGTTGTCTTTGGTGTTTGTGGGTTGAGAGGTCTAGAAGCCACCACAGCTACCCAAGATTCAGTCCTCTGAGGCCTGCTCCAGGTTTGCTGCGGCCTGCGGGCCCACACC